GAGAGAGAGAGAGAGAGAGAGAGAGAGAGAGAGAGAGAGAGAGAGAGAGGGAGGAACCAGTAATAGACTAAGAAATGGAGGTCTCAGAGCTTCTTAGGAGAATGGGTAATGTGGGCTGCAGGTGTACTACACTCATTATAAAATTCAGTCTGTGCAAATCAGTAGTCACAGATGAGCAAGGACACAGGGTGTAGGGTCCTGTACGGGAGATGAATACCAGCAGCAGGCTAGTAGTCAGTGCCTAAAAGCTAGAAAAGAAAAACAAATTATTTAGAGAGCTGGAGATGCTCTTTAGAGATTTGATAGTGACCTGGAGAATACATTAAGAACAGAAATATGTGAAAGTCATTGTCTCCGGAAACACGGGAGGAAGAGTGAAAGAACAGAAAACAACATTTTAGACACAATTATATTTCGGGATTTTTTTTTACCTATATGGTTATTTTTTTATGACACTACAAACGATAGGGGAGATTCAACAGCAGTATAAGTACCTACCTTTTCCACAGTCATTGTCTTTGTATCAATTTTGATTGTTAGGAGAAAACTTAATCTCCAAACAGCCTCTGCTCCAAAATCCCAGACAGCTAACATTTTCTAGCACCTAAAATTTATAGACTTCCCAAGTATTCCTTTGCTGAATAAAATCTAGGTATATGCATATTTGGGATACTGAAATGACAAGCAGCAAATGGCAAGAAGCACTTGATTGGGAATTTCTAATGTTTTGACTAAGGTTTTGAGATCAATCCAATTTGTATTAAAAATAAAGCCTTTGTGTTATTCCACATAGTTCTTTGTTTAGAAATTAATGTAGCCAGCTAAGTTATGCAACCCAAGTTTAGAAGATAAGTTAAGGATGTTGAAATGAAAACAGCAGAAGAATGAGCCAATACTGCAACATAATAGAAATAATTAATTTGCATCAAGCCAGGAACACATTGTTGGCAAACGGTGAAGCTTCTGTGTCATTTTGTACAATTTTAGTGAAAAGAAAAAAAAAACCTCACTCTTCTCTGATTAAGTAATAGCTTTGTTACCAGTGGAATTAAGATTAAAACAGTCCTTTTAATGAGAATTTAAAGACATCTGCATTGTGTACGGTGTTTATCTAATGGATTTTAAAATTTTAAAAATCATACACCTATTGCCATAGTCCATACAAAATTATCTCAAATGAGTGTAGTTCAACTACAATTTTAGAAAAATGACAACACATTTAACGGCTTAAA